TAGATCATAGCAACTTCTGTGGGTTGCTGAGGTGGTACATTACTATGTGGCCACATAGCCTCATATTTCTCTGTAGTAACTAGATGATTTGAACTACTGAGCTTGTGGTTAACAGCCCAAAACATAACCCACTAAGTCATCATATCACAGTGATATCATATACTTTGAAAATGTCACATACTTTGAAAATGTCAGCATATACGACAAAAATGATCAAAACTGGAAATTCCATAGCATTAAGCCTAATAGAAAAACATCAAAGTAATTGACAAATATGGAGTTCAACATGGTAATTATCAATTGGAGTATGGATGGTAATGTGGTTGGATGACTGCTCAACTGGAATCAACAATGCTTTATTTCTTAACTCATTTATGAAATATACTCGTGTATATACTCGTGTATAAGCCAAGTTTTTCAGCACATTTTTAATACAGTTTTTATGGTAAAGTTATGTGCCTTGGCTGATATTCAGGTCAGTTTATACTTGTGTATATGTGGTCGAGTATATACCATATGTGTTTTCAATTATTAGTATTCTGCAAGTTCTATAAGTACATTTTATACTCTATATCATGTGTATATTTGTCATGGTAAACATAAACATAACAAAATAAACACAAGCTCAACACTTTATTTTTGTACAACTCAGTGATATTGCTTAGATTTTTCAAGTTGTGGAACCATTTTTACTATCATTTTCTATCCACCATCTTTACCATAAAATCAAAAGCATAGATGCAAAACTTCCCTTTCATCTCTCCATCCCTGTACAACTAATAATCATTGTCTTGAATTCATTTATTTATTTTAAAGTAAGATCATACAGTAACAATACCTTTGTGATTGGCTCATTTTACTCAGAATTATGGTTTGAAGGTTCATTCATGTAATGTGATGAATCAAGATTTCATTTTTGTTTATGGCTGAGTCATATTCCATTATATATACATACCACATCTGTTGATCCTTTCATCCATTGATGAATATTTTGATTGTTTCTACTTCATAGATATTACAAAGAATGCTACGATAAACATCTGTATACAGAATATATTGATATTTTAACAAGTACAATTGAGCCAAATCTTTTACATTTCAGATTACAAATACATTCTATCATATGCTTTTAATATTAACATCTTGCTTCTCAGAATTCAGCGTGTGTAAGAATTTCAAAAGGGCTTAATTAAACTGCTCACCCTTCTGGTGCCTGTCTAGAAAAAGAAATTTGTTTCATAAGATTCAGCATCATGATTTACAAACAAGAATTTCTGGTGTCTCATGTACACAAGTGTTCTCTGAGTGTTAATGAAGAAATGTCTGAACAACAAGGTACCTTGGGTACTAAGTGAGGAGCTCTTCCCCAGCAGACTGAACATAACCTTCCTCTCTTACCCTAGTCATGAACAATGAAGAGAGCACTCGACAAACTCCTTAATTCTCCTGTGACACCTCCACTTTTCCTCTATAACTGTAGACACAATTCTGACTGATGGACACAATTTGTATATTTGGGTGGTTGGGGTTGTAATGTGATCCTACGAATCCCGCCCACTTTTCCTTTCTTCCACCATGTTTACAATTCCTTCTTAAAGTAAATTTCTTCTCTGCAGAAAAGCTGCTTTCTTCATAAACACCATTTGAGATGTGTTATTGAAATTCTTAAGACTTCAATCAACACTCTAAATTGTCAGTTTTATTTTGCCAGTTTCTATAGAAGCAGAGGCTAAGGAAGGGATTCGTTTTCAAGATTTTTAGATAGCAATCTATAAAGAAGCAAAGCTTCTTTCACTTCTTTGAGATGGTGGATTAGCTAGTGTAAAAAATACACTTTGAAAGCTTGGGTCTTAGGTAGAAATTATCACCATCTTGATCCTATGCTTAAAGCCATGTGAACAGAAGCCAAAATTAGTCCCTAATTAGTCCTAGTGAACTGAAATTCTTGGAACCTCCTTTTTTCATAAAGATGATAAAATATGCCTAGACATTATCTTATCTAGTCATTTTTAGAAGATCTTGCTGATGAAGCAGTAGGCACTCAGCATCAGATACATTCCTTCCACTTTGACTCATACTAGAATCCCAAATCAAAACAACACAAAAAGAGTACCTAAAATAATCTTATTCTATTGATGAATTTTCTCAAAGCTTCCTTCATGTCTCTGTTCCTCAGGCTGTAGATAAAGGGATTCATCATTTGAGGGACCATGCTATATAATATTGAGGCTACAGCTGTCTCCCTGGAGGAGTGTGGAAATGTAGAACTGATGTACACACCAAGGGCAGTTCCATAGAATATAGAAACAATCGAGAGATGAGACCCACAAGTGGAAAACACTTTATACTTTCTGCCTCCTGATGTCCTTCTCAGGACAGCAGAGATGATCTGTGTGTAAGAGAAAATAATTCCAGATACAGGAACACCACCCAAAAATGTAATCACCAAATATGCTAGGATGTAATTGATGAAGGTATCAGAGCAGGCAAGTTTGAGAACTGGAGCAAGTTCACAAAAGAAGTTAGGGATTTCCAAGTCTGTGCAGAAGGACAGGCGCAAGACCATCAGACTCTGAAGTAGTGCATTCATAAGGCTCATGAACAAGGAGAGTAGGGAGAGCGAGCCACAGAGGGTAGGGCTCATGATAATAGTGTACCTCAGAGGATGACAGATAGCCACATAGCGGTCATAGGCCATTACTGCAAGGAGAAAATTTTCCAAACCAGCAAAAACCAAGGAAGAGCAGATTTGCATGAGACATCCTGTGTAAGTGATGCGTTGATTTTGAGCTTTGATGTTTGCCAGCATCTTTGGGAGTGTGGTTGTGCTGAAACAGATGTCAGTGAAGGAGAGATTAGAAAGAAAGAAATACATGGGTGTGTGGAGGTGGGAGTCAAAGCTGACAGCCAGAACAATGAGTAGGTTTCCCAAGAGGATGATGAGGTATATGGACAGAAACAGGGTAAAGAAGAGAGGTTGGATTTCTGGATCCGTGCTCAATCCCAGAAGAATGAATTGTGAAACACCTGTGTAGTTTCCATGTTCCATATTGGCAAACCTGGTGGAAAAGATTGGATGACAGATAATTAAATGTGTAGATCCACAGCACTCAGCAAGAGCATCAACTTGCTTTGTTGTGAAAAACCTAAGTTCTTGGTACCTACTCCAGCCTCACTGATGATAAATTCTGGAATGGGAGCTCCCATTCTATTTTACATACTTTTTACCAAGGTAAGTTGGTGGTGGTGTTAGATGATGTCAAATCAGTTCAAATTCATAGGGACAACAGGCACAAGAGAATGAAACACTGCCTAGCCCTCCACTACCCTGAAGATCGCTTTGTTGCTGTTGTTTTTTATGGTGGTGCCAACAGTTGCAGACACTGTGTCTATCTATCCACTAGAAAGTCATGCTCTTTTTGACTTTAAAGAGCATTGTTTCCTTTACTAGGAGCTGGACTGTCCTTATAATATTCCCAATGTATTTGTTAGCAAGAACAAAAAAGAATAAGTATATCAATGACTGTCAGAATCATGAACAAAGGTGTCTTGAAAGAAGTACAGCAAGAATTCTCCTTAGATGTCACATGGTGAGGCTTCAGTTCATGTATTTGGACTGGTTCTCAGGCAGTTTCCATTCTTTAGAGAAAGACATCATACTTGGTACAGTGTAGAGAGCAGGAAAAATGAAGTAAGTTCCCAGTAAAATGCATGAACATTGTGGAAGAAACAATATATTTTAATATATGAACCTGTGTGGGATAATGTAGGACAAGAATTGATTTGTTCTGTTGTAATAGGCTTGTTATGAGTGGAAACTGACTCAATGGTACCTAGAAAAAACAGCAGTGATGAGAGCATCAGAGAAAGGGGAGTTTTGCTTAGGGTATGTTGAATGGATGCTCCTGGTAGTGGGATATTTGGGGAACAGATAGCACATAACATGAGTGTAACCAATATCGTTGAATTGTAAATGTAGAAATTGTTGAATTACATTATGCTTTATTGTACATATTTCTTTATTATGTACAGCTAAAATGGAATTTAAAACCTTATTGAAATTTTGTATTCCTGAGAAATGATTAGGAAAAAGCAGCTTGTATAGTACAAAGAGTCTTGGCACCTAGTAGTTACATGTGGGCCTGCTAGCCACAAGGTCTGCAGTTTGAAACCATCAGCCAGCTCGGAGGAAGAAGGATGAAACCGTCTACTCCCCTAAAGAGTTACAGTCTTGGAAACTCACAGGGGCAGTTCTATCCTGTCCCATCAATTGGCTATGAGTCATTATTGACCTGATGGCAGTGAGTATAGTGCTTACCTTATGAGATCTTCATAATAGCTTGTCCTATTGTGATTGTGTGTGTGTGTGTGATGAACAATGTAGTAGTTGGTGTCTTTTACTCCTAAGACAAAAGTAATATATGAAGCAGTTGAGGGAAGAAAACAACAGAACATTCCAAGCATCTTAAACCCAAACTTCAAGAAAGGATTTAAATTCCTCTCTGGGGAATTTGTTTATGTAGAGAACATGAAGGATGAAACACCTTAAATGAACATCAATGATATCAATATTCATTTGGCAAGGACAGATGATAAAATAGATATGAATAAATTGGGTTCACTTGAAGCAGCACAAGTAATGGGGAAAATTGTATGGCAAGAACTCTAAGGCTTATAAAAAATTAAATGTTAACATATACACAGATTTGCTGGGTATGTGTCTTATTAGAATTATGGATAACTCAAGCATAATGAAACCTACAGAGTAAATAATGAATGGCTAGTTATCCATCAGTCAGTGCTATTGACTCACACACTTCTTCAGCCTTGATTTAGATATTTTTATTGAAAAAATATAATATAAATATATTTTAAGCTTCCTACATTCTGCAGTTTGCTCACTATTGACACATTTCCTTCCCCGGGGCTGAGAAATGCATTAACTTGATATCCATTCATTCTATACAATTTTAGTATATGTAGCACTGTTCTTTAGTACTACAGTGAACCCTCGTTTATCGTGGTTAATCGGTTCTAGACCCTACCGTGATAAATGAAATTCCGCGAAGTAGGATTCCTTATTTGTAAATCAAATATTTTCGTAGTTAGAGCATAGAGGACATGAAAAAACACCCTTTAGTCACCATTACACTCGTATTACCCAATTTATTAAACGAAAAAGGGAAAATACAGTAAAACATTTTGGACGTTACAATGATCATTTATTATTTATTATATTATTTATGGTATCTAGTTTACAGTATTACATATTTCACATACAGTATTATTATACATAGTTCTTACAAATACTGTAATCAATAGCCTATGAAATGACTTAAGGGATGTACTCTACAGGTGGGTCACCATCTTTTTCCTCTGAAGGAGCGGGTGTAGGCAGTGGGTGCTGTTACGCAAAAACCGCGATAGAGTGAAGCCGCGGAAGTCGAAGCGCGAAGTGGCGAGGGTTCACTGTATACTCTTTTGCCTTTTAAATGCTTTCTATAAGCATAAGAATATTGCATACGTAATTTGACAATTGGCTCTCTCAAAATGTTTATTTTCTTTATTTTTATATGGAACTATAATTAAAGTAACACACAATTCAATGGTTCAAACATCTCAAGGAAGGCTGTATAGTCATCACAACATTTTTTTTGTATAATTTTTAAAATGAATGTCTATACAGTCATTTCTGCTTCCCTAATTTTTAAAATACAATTTGATAGTACACTACAATTTATTTCTTCACTCTATAAATGAGAGTTATTATATTTAATGCCTTCTAAAATCTGTGTGCCACTTTCAATTTATATCTCTCTCTATCTGTAGGGGACCTAGTGACTTGCTGGGCAACTTGTTGTGACCAACCAGTCGCTCTCAATTAAATACAAGGGTTTTTGATTCTGCTGAAATTCATAGTTTTGGGAAACCGTGTATAATGTTGCTACAAGTGAGAGTTGATTCAGAGGCACTGAATTAGTTTTGATTCATTGATTGACACACACATGTACATTTATATTACACACAAACATACATATATAGTTAGAGTTATATATTTAGAAAGAGATAAAATTAAGTCATGCATGGAAAATAATATCACCTGAAAACTGCTGTTTCTGGGTGAGAAAGAGAGCAACACAGAGAATCACAAAAAGAAGACTCACTGCATACGTATTTTATCACTAAAAAATACCCAGAGCTCTACAGCCGAACCTCAACAATGGTTAGTTCTGGAAAGGAGTAAATGGTAGTCTTTTCCTTTTTAATAAATTATTTATATGGTTATAATTTTAAATATTTGGTAATTTTATCAATAGAAACATATGAGCTTTTTTTGGCAACCTGCTGCTTGGGCCTACATTATCTCCACATCCATTTCCAGAATCTCATAGCTTTCTACCAGGGATAAGACCAAAGGACTCCTAAAGATGGTGTGTCAAGAACCAGGGATAAGAAGATAAAAGTAAGCTTACATATTCTCCTCCCCATTATCTTCACAAAAGTACAAGTAAATGCCTGAGATTTCCTAAGTCTTCAGTTTGAGAAAAGGAGGTTTCTGCTCAGGAAGAAAATGATCCTTGCCATTGTAGAGGCACAATAAGAGATCAGTTCAATAAGGGCATATTCAGGCAAAACTAAAAAGAAGCATGTCAAGAAGGTGGAAGACAGCTTCATCTTGCTACAAATGCCTAACGTACATCGCCATCAAGGCTTCTTTGAGCATATATGTGCAAAGATAGAAAGAAGCATGTCAGGACAATGGAAGTCCGTTAGGTAGGAGTCCATGGGTGAACTTGATTAGAATAATTTTATGCATGCATGTACTGTCTTCAGTTTCCCGTGGATGAAGTTATAGGGAAACACCTGTCCTCATTTTCACACATTAATCAAAGGATTCTAGATTACCTGGCTGACATCACTGAGGATTGACACTTACAATCAGGCCTGGATGTTGAGAGAGATGGCAGGGAGGTCTATCTTCAGGAGAGGCAGAGGGACCCATGTGCGGCATTAGATTCCTGGGCATGTAGATCATCGGTGAGCAGAAAGGTTGTTGAGAGAGGTTGTAAAAGACAGATTATTTCAGTTTGTGTATCCCCTGGGGTTCAATATCCTAACCTCCTCATTAACCAAATTATTTTAGTGTCATTCTCATCCCGAGGGAATACAAATCCTGGAAGACCAAGACAATGGAAGAGAGGAATTCAGGATGAGTGATTCCCTGACCCTTTGAGGTGAGGGATATGCCATTTACTTCTCTCTGCCTGTTTCTATTCAGCAACATTTCACATCCCTTGCACGCCAGTCTTCTTTTTTTTATGTACAACTAAAAGCAGCAGTAGTTTATCAATGATATCAGGAAGTCCAATTCAAATTAAACATGTAAAAATATAGTTTACATATATGATAAGCCAAGACGAAACTCACTACTTGCCATTGAATCAATTCCAACTCAGTGACCCTGAAGGACAGGATAGAAATTGCCCCTATGGGTTCTGAGATGAACTCTTTAAGGGAGTAAAAAGTCAAGATTTTCTCCCTTGGAGCAGCTAGTGGTTTCACACTGCTGACCACCTGACTATCAGCCCAGTGTATAACCACTACACTAGCAGGGCTCCTTATATATAATACAAATAACATATTTATAATAGCCCAAAGAAGTGAAAATGCAAACACTTAGAGGTTTACATTTCTAGGAGGTTGAGTGCTTCCTGAACTTTAATCTATTTTCTGCCTATTTCATGCATCAGATTCTAATGTATACTTTATTGACAATACTATTAGCAATCAATATATCCAAATCAAATGCATATTATTTTCAGTTTCATAGTCATCTTTTCCAATTTTGTCCAAAAAAATCTCAGCATGTATCTGTACATTATGAGACTATGAGTTGAAAATATGGTTTTCTATTTTAAATAGTGTTGTGAAAAATCACAGTGTCACTGGCTAGGCACAAGTTTACAGGATTATCCAAACTTTCAGCGAATTTAAGTAAATCACAATGCATATTTAATAAGTAGAAATGGAGCTTCACGTTAATACTCACTTTAAAACAGTTCATCTTTAAAGGACTTCAATATTTTTATTTCTACTGGCTAAAATTTTGTTGGAGTAAAACCCTTTTCTTGAAATGTCTTATTTTCACAGCTTAACTATAGAGGAGCATTTTCTTAGTTATTTGTAGCTTTTAGTAATTAACCTTGAGAGGAATGAGAATTGCACAACACTTTATTTTGCTTATGCAGAACTCTTACATGGATCAAGAGGCAGTTGTGCGAACAGAACAAGGGAATAATGCATGGTTTGAAATCAGGAAAGGTGTGCATTGGCGTTATATCCTCTCACTATAGTATTTGATCTGTATGCTGAGCAGAAATGCTGTTCAATGAATGTTAAATCATAAATGTTAAAATGAACATTTAATGATAAATGCTGGATTATATGAAGAAGAATTATACATTAGCATCAGAGGAAGTCTTATTAACAACCAGAAACATGCAGGTGACAGCCTTGCTTATTGAAAATGAGAATGACCAGAAGTCCTTGTTGAAGAAGATCAAAGACTATGGCCTTTGGTATGGCTCACAACTCAAGGTAAAGAAGATAAACAAAAATTCCCACAACTGGAGTAATAAGTAACATCAAGTTAATTGTAGAACAGTTGAAGTTGTCAAAGAGTTTTTCTTGCTTAGACTTACAACCAATACTCATGAAAGAAGCAGTCAAGAGACCAAAAGATGCATTACATAGGGAAAATCTACTGCACAAGACCTCTTTAGAGATTGAGAAGCAAGAATGTTACTTTAAGGATTAAGGTGCACCTGACCTGAGCCATGACATTTTTCATGGATTCACATGCATGTGACAGTTGGGCTTTGAATAAGGATGACAGAAGATGAAGACACAGGAGGAGAAGCAGGAGGAGGAAGAGGAGGAGGAGAAGGAGAGATGCTTTTGAATTGTGGAGCTGGAGAAGAATATTGAAAGTACCATGACTGCTAAAAGAACAAACCTATCTGTCTTAGGAGAAATATGGCCAGAGTGTTCCATAGAGGTAAGGATGGCAATACTTCATCTTACATTCTTTGGATATATTGTCTGCAAAGACATTCCTCGAAGAAGGATAGCATGCTTGGCAAAGTGGAGCAGCAGCAAGAAGGAGGAAAACCCTTAACAAGATGTATTGATACAGTGATACAATAGGTTACAACAATGGGCTAAAGTGTAGGAACGATTGTGAGGGTGTCATAGGACAGTGATGTGTTTTACTCTGTTGTGCATAGAGCTACTATGGGTTGGAACTGATTAGATGGCTCCTAACCACAACAACAACAGCAATCAACAATCAGACAATAGGAGCTTGTCAGAGAATCAAATATGAATGTACATAAAAATGAATGTGTAACTCCTCATGAACATAGATAAATTTAATCACTCAATTTGGATTAAAACGCCCACATGGAGGAAGTACACCAGCCTATGTGACCATGAGGTGTCTATGGTATCAGGTATCAGGCACCAAAGACCCAGAACAAACAATGTGAATGAGGGGTAGAGCAGAGTGGAGACCCAAAGCCCATCTGTATAAAATTGGACATCCCCTTACAGAAGGGTCACAAGGAAGGGACAAGCCAATCAGGGTACAGTATACCAGCGATGAAACATACAACTTTCCTCTGGTTCTTTAGTGCCCCCACCCCCATCCCGGCACTATCATGATCCCAATTCTACCTTACAAATCCAACTAGACCAGAGCATGTACACTGGTACAGACAAGAGCTTGCAACATAGTGAATCCAGGACAGATAAACCCCTCAGGACTGATAATGAGAGGAGCAATACCAGCAGGGTAGGGAGAAGGTGGGGAGAGAGAGGGGGAACCAATCACAGTAGTTGATATATAACCTCCTCTCAGGGGTCAGACAACAGACAAGTGGATGAAGGGAGACAGTGGCTGGTGTAAGACATGAAAAAAATAATAAATTATAAATTATCCATGGTTCGTGAAGGTGGAAGAGTGGGGGAGGGAGGAAAAAATGAGGAGTTGATACCAAAGGCTCAAGTAGAAGAAAATGTTTTGAAAAAGATGATGACAACATATGTAAAAATGTGCTTGACACAATGGATGGATGGATGGATGGATTGTAATAAGAGCTGTAAGAGCCCCCATTTAAAAAGAGTGAAAAACAAACAAGAAGATGCTATGAATTCTCATTTGCAAATCCACTTATTAAGCCTTAAAGACAACTAAGAGTAACAAACACATCTATCTGGATGTGGCAAGCCATCAACGTGAGGCTGAGTAAGTCCAGTGACTCATAGCCTTGATTTTTGGATCAAATGCAGACTATTGTCTCACTCCAAAACAAACAGCTTACAGGGATGGATCTGAGGCTTTGACTGCCAGGCTACATGACCATGGAGAATCTTAGTCGTGGTCACCAGGACTTCATTATAACTGAAGTTAGATAAAACGCAGCTTGCTGTTATAAACTGCCATCACATGGAAGCCAATGCACAGTGACCTTATGTACAAAAGAGGGATACACTGCCCAGTCCTGTGCCATCTTCACAATTGTTACATGTGAGGCCATTGTTGCAGCCACTCTGTCAACCCATGTCATATAGAGTGTCTCAGCTTTAAGCCTCAAAGAAGCAGGTTGCTAGAATTTTTCTCCTACAGTCTCTTGGTGTGAAGTTCAACTACAAAGTATTAAGTTTGGAGTTGAGTACAAACCATACAGTGATTACATAAAAGAGGTAGCAATAAAGAAAAAAATAAACAGATGTTTTACCACTAACCACTATAATATCTGAATCCCTGTAACAAAGGACTTACTCAGAATTTCTGAATCACTAATACTTATTTTGTTCTGACCTTGTTTAATAACTTAAGCCCACAAAAGTAATACATTAATGGAAAGAACACATTCTCAAGATGAGTTTACTCAAAGCAGCCATCATGTCCTTGTTCCTCAAACTATAGATGAAAGGGTTCAGCAAAGGTGTGACCACGGTGTACATCACTGAGGCAATTGCACTCTTTTGAGAAGAGAGAGTAGCTGCAGTGCTAAGATAGACGCCAAAACCAGTCCCATAGAATAAGGAAACAACAGAGAGGTGAGACCCACAGGTAGAAAAAGCTTTATACCTTCCACCTGTTGATGGCATTTTTAAGAGAGAAGAGACAATTTTCAGGTAAGAGAAAATAATCCCAAGAAAGGGTCCAACACCCAAAATGCTAGTCATCAAATATAGCACTATATTATTGAAGAGGGTATCAGAACAGGCAAGCCTGAGGACCTGAGAGAGTTCACAGAAAAACTGGGGAATTTCCAGGTCTGTGCAGAAGGACAGACACAACGTCATCAAACTGTGGAGCAGGGCATTCATAATGCTAATGGATAAGGAAAGTAGAATCAGCAGGCCACAGAGGCGGGGGTTGATGATGGCCATATACCTCAGTGGATGACAAATGGCCACATAGCGATCATAGGCCATTACCGCAAGGAGACAATTTTCCAAACAAGCAAAAATCAACACAAAGCAGATCTGGGTGAGGCAGCCTGTGTAACTGATAGATTTACTCTGAGTCTGGATGTTCACCAGCATCTTAAAGATTGTGGTGGTGCAGAAACAGATGTCAGTGAAGGACAAGTTGGAGAGGAAGAAGTACATGGGGGTGTGGAGGCGGGAGTCTGAGCTGATGGCCAGGATGATGAGCAGGTTCCCAGACACAGTGATCAGGTACATGGTCAGGAACATTCCAAAGAGAAAAGGCTGCAGTTCTGGATCCTGTGAAAGGCCCAAGAGGAAGAATTCTGTGACAGCTGTTTGGTTTCCTGTTTCCATGTTTTCAATGATCCTGGTGGAAAGAATAGAGATGGAATAGGCAAATCGGATGTACAAAGATGTCTTATTTTAAAGAAACACGCTACCATATACTTCAGAGAAAAACACTAGCATATACTGTGAAATGAACTAAGTGATTTTTTTTCTGTGATTATCTCCCTCTTTCTCCCTGGTGTCTTTCTTCCTACACTCTCATTTTTCTATCCGCTTCTCACCACATCTTTTTAAAAGTACCTTAAGTGCCTGATCTTTTTTCTGCATTTGTCAGCGAAATTGAGTACACTATGAAATGACATTTAATTTTTTTCCTAGAAAAAATTTAATCTCGTTACATCAGCAAAAGGTCTAAATCACATGATGGCTAATATGTGTTTTAGAGAATTAGTTCTCAAACTGCCTTAGTCAGACTTAGTTGAAGCATTTGCTGAAAGTGGAGATTGCTGGGGCAACACCCTCAGTACAAGATGCAGAATGTGGGGACTTAGGGCTCCACAATGTTCCTTTCTAGTGAACTCCCAACTATAGAGAAGTCTGGTGCAGCAAATTTACAGAATCCAATATATTGATTAATCTTTTGATTGCTGCTTCCATGAATCTTGCCTGTGGATCCAAGCAGGACAAAATCCTTGTCAACTTCAATCGCTTCTCCATTGTGAGGATTTTTGTCCTTTACATTGAGTTATAAACCATATTGACGGCTGCAATCTTTCATCTATACCAGCAAGTGCTTCAAGTCCTGCTCACTTTCAGCAAGCATGGCTGTGTTATCTGCATATTGCAGTTGTTAGTAAGCCTGTCTCCCATCCTGATACTACATTCTTTTTCATATAATGTAGCTCCTCTGATTATTTGCTTAGATTGAATAAGTATGGAGAGAGTTATAGAACCCTGAACACACACTTTTCCTGATTTTAAGCCATGCCACATTCCATAGTTCTGCCTCTTTATCCATGCACAGGTTGTGCATGAGCACAATTAGGTGCTCTGGAAGTTCCATTCTTCTCTAGGCTATCCAGATCCATGAATTTGTACCCATTCCAAAGAAATATGATGCAACCAAAGTAAAAATTGACTCCCTAAATTGGTATGTACTCCTCCCCTTCCTGCAAAGCAGAGGAATGGGAGTAGAAATAAAAGGGATATGATCTTTAAATCACTTGAGAAAATAGAAACAATTTGTAAGCATATCCCAACTAGAATTTTAAAGTAAGAAATACCCAGGCATACAAGTTGCTTGGTAGGAAGAGGGGAGTAGATGTTTGCTAAGTCAGCCATAGAAGGGAAAATATATCTGGAGCAAAGTAAGTACACCAAGCCATCTGTAAATCTTTACAGGATAAAGAGCACCATTATTCTCATCTTAGCAGCTACTGGGTCTTAATCACTGTCTTTATGATTAGCAGGTCAATATTTAACCCAGGACACCACCAGAGTATCTTTTAAAGTGTGAAATACTTGTTATATATGATGACCATGATAATTGGATAAGAAAATGTGATCTTATTTTTATGAAAACCTTATCTTACACATATCATAAACAGTAATTTAAGAAGTAAGTACATAAACATTCTTTGGTGTTTTAATATTATTTATATTTTCACATGAGTGAAATAGATAAACAGCATACAATTTTAAGTTTTAAACTTATAGGCATAATGAATAATCTTAATTAAAGGATGATTACTTCTAGTTTATTATATTGCCTTTTTTAATGAACTTCCTGGATTTCCCATTGACTTCTATGCCTTAATTTTGTTCCCTCTACTTCTGGCAGATGATGGCATTTCATTCCGTCTACTTGTGACAGAGATGATTAATCCTTGCTACTTAGTAGCTTGATACAATCCATATTCCCTTTATGTCTTGAGCCATTGTCTTCATTCTATAATTAGCAGATCATGTTAGAAAAAGAAATATTGGAAATCAATCATGTAATTTCAGATAGTCCTCCTCTTGTTTCTGGTTTATCCCATCAAAGTCTGACTAGGTCAATATCTTTGTTCACTGGGTCCTCTAGGAATCCTGAGATAGTATCCCATATATTTACATTCCCTGTGTTAAGATGAGGTCCCTGTGAATTGGTTCACTAGATTCTCACAAGCTGGCACGGCTTGATTGCATATGTCTTGTCATGGTTATGTATTTAACAATTGTTTTGCTTATGAACCAATTATTTAGAACAATTTTCCAAAGGAATCCCATACAGGAGCAGCTCATTAAGATTCATTTGTTTAGGGTAAATGGCCCTAGCCAAGGCCTGTTTCACCAACAAGAACATCTAGGCCCTAAGCATGGGGCATGACAACAATCTACCCTAACAGAATCAATAATTACTGGAAGATATGGAATCAGACACCTGAGGCTGTTCTCAACTTTAGCACATGCCTTGGGGGATGAGAAAGTTTTCACAGTTCTTCAAGAAGTCTCAAACTTCTCCTTTGCCCAATGAGAACCATCATAAAACCTTCTAGGGATAGTGCAAAGATGAGAAATTAACAGACACATCATCACATCATCAAGCACATTGCTCATCCTATGACACCCTCTCCATATTTTCTAATATCATTTGTTTTATGAGAGCGTGACCTGACAGCCTGGTAGTGATCATTATCAAAGAGAAGTGATACCACGTGCAGTCAGATTAATGAGATCAAGGGAAAATAATGCAACCCTAAGAAAACAATGGAAGCGTTTAGGAAAGGAAGACTGTGCCAAACTGCACTGGGAATCTTCCTCATGCAGAGAAGACTAATTCATGCAGGAAGAGGGAATAAGCAAAGTGGCTATCAATATAAAGGGAGCCCCGGTGGCCCACAGATCAAGAGTTTGGCTTATAACGAATAGGTTAGCAGTTTGAACCTACTGACAGCTCTGTCAGAGAAAGACATGGCAGTCTGGTTCTGTAACGATTTTAAGTCTTTGAAAGTCTATAGGGACTTCAGCAACACCCTCTAGGGCTGCTGTGAGTCAGAATCAACTAACGGTAATGACTTCATATAGAACAGTCTTCCTTTGGCATGGACGCAGGATGCAAATGCTATAAATGAAGATGAATACATTAGACCTAGCCATGTCAACCAAATTTGGAAAACAAAAGGAAAAAAGTAATTTCTCTAACAAGCCATATATAGTGTACAAAAATTTAAATAAGATTTAAAATTATACAGAAACATTTTCATTTTGTTATGAAGTATATTGAGCATACTGAAAAATGCAGACAAAGTAATAAAGGCCAAATTATGTTCCACTTAGCACAAAAAAAATAAAATATATGATCATGTTTACATTAGGTACTTTAAAATATTATGGAATTTTCCATTTAGTTATGAGCTTAAAACATTTATTTACATATTTTTGTGTGAGTGTGTATAGTGTATTCTGTATTTTTAATGGGAAATGTAGTTACTTCCATGCCTCCCTGCTTACTATTTTAAAATGTTTTTTCTCACCACCAGGGGAACCAGGCCACTGAATGTGGTGTTCTTATTCCCTTGTGCTTTCACTACAAACAATGCTATTGTTCTATGATTTCATGGTTTATTTTCTGTAAATATCATTTGAGCTTTGGTTTCTTAAAATTTAATGTCATCCATCTTAATGTATTTCACTATGGTTCATTAACTTTAACTACAGTAAGGTACATCATTCATTCTTCTATTAATTATATTAGAAATTACTTATCCCTCAACAAAAGAATGGCATTTCATTATGCTCTCCATGCACATATACATCAATGCCTGAGAAATATCACATTTAATATTGGTTGCCAATGGAGAAAAAAAAGACTATGAATGAAAATGGAGTTGAATACAAAACATAGATCTTCTCTTTGTGGACATTATATTTTACTTTAAGAAGAGAATTGTGATAAAGATATTTGTTGTGGTTGTTTAAATTCTGATAGAATTGGTATGTGTTACTCTCATACTCCTGGATATCCGATCTTATAATATTTCCAGAGTGGATAATAAGCACCTGTAATAACAAGATAGAACTCTGAGTCCTTATTGCCATATTAAATAATAACCAGGTGAAATATATCCCCTAAAAAGCACACAAAAATAGATAAGAGGAGGTTGACCTGAGACACTTACATCCTGCCAAAGAATCACAAGAAAATTCTAGAAAATTCATCAAGTCTTCGAAAGGGTATTTTTTTGTTGTTGAGAATAGAAAATTTTTCTTGAAATTTTGGGTGAGAGTAGGTTATTAGCAGAATGAAAGCTGCTGAAGGAATCATGCAAAGGTGCAAGGAAATGATCGAGTGTCACAAGAGCGTCCATTCTCCTCATCTGCTGCACGTAATCACCTCACACCTGTCATCAGAAAGACTTATAGACAAAGTCATCTCCCTAATTACTGAACAATTAACCTTGGGTCTTCAGACTTCCTGAATATCATCAGCATCAGCAAATGGCATCCGGTTCTCCATTGTCTGTTGAATGATAAAAATGGAAATTCTGGAATCAAGAAACACAGAAATCAGAGTAGAACTAGATTCCTGTGGAAAGAGAGAGGAACAATGCTTAGGCATTCTGTCTCCTGACCAAGGCAAAAATGTTGACTGCATGGTCAGAGGCAGACTATTTGCAGCCTCTGTGACCCTTGGGGTTTCAATATCCAAAGCTCTTCATTAGTCAAATTATTTTGCTGTCATTCTAATCCCAGTGCGGTACAAATCCTTAATGAGCAAGATTCATATAAACATTTATGTTGAAAAATTGATCACATTAATAACACTGATGTATAAAGACACTTTGCATCTTAATCCAATCACACCCATGCCAAGTGCCTGGACACACCTCTGTTCTATGATTAGATTAGTCTTCTCTGTTTACATCCAAAAGTACTCCAATGCTAACAAGACCAGGAAGACTGATATCATGTTTAGCCTGAAGTATACTTCTGATATTACTTTGACGATAAAGGTGTATGTGACCCACCCCATGGTATTTTCAGTCTCCTTAGATGCATATGAAACTTGGACATTAAGTAAGAAAAACAGATAAGAATGGTTGCATCTGAAAAATGGTGGCGGTAAAAATACAGAAGGCATCAGGTTGTTGTTAATTGCCTTTGAGTCCGTTTCAACCCATAGCGACCCTATCCACAGCGGAAGGAAACAATGCCCAGTCCTGTGTCATTCTTACAATTGTTCCTTTGCTTGAACCCATTGCTGGAGCCACTGTGTCCATCTATCTTCTTGAGGGCATTCCTCTGTTTCAGTGTCCCTCTACTTACCAAGCATGATGTCCTTCTCTAGGGACTGTTCTCTCCTGGCCACATGTCCTAAATGTGTAAGATGAAATCTCACTGTCCTTGCCTCTAAGGAACGATCTAGCTGGAATTCTGCCAACACAGACTTGTTTTCTTCTAAGCAGCCCATGGTACTTTCAGTATTCTTCTCCAGCAGCACAGTTCTAATATATCAAATCTGCTGTGGTCTTCCTTACTCAATATCCAACGTCCACATACATATTAGGCCATTGAGAATACCATGGCATGGGTCAGGCACACTTTAGTCCTCCTTGCTTTTCAATACTCCAATGAGGTCTTGTGTGGCTGATTTACCCAATGCAACTGCTGTATCTGTATTCTTCAGCATCTCACAATGCTTTGAAGCTATGCTTAAGGTTTTCAGTGGCTACTTGCTATGGAATGAGCAACCACTTCTTAATTTTCTGTTTTAGTCCAAAAGCTCTGTGAGACCTGTTCACTTCGGGTGACCCTGCTGTCATTTGAAATACATATCTTCCAGTATCACAGTAACACGCAAGCCTTCACAGTATGACAAATGGCCAGGTGAGTAGTGAGAAGTTCCATGGGCTGTCAAAAAACAAGAAACAAATCTGTCTGGGAAGATGTATAACCAGAATGAGCTTGATGTTGTCCTACATGATTCTTAGACTTTCTTCTTTGTATTAGTGGTTTTTCTCATAATTCGGTGTTGAGACCAGTATCTTCAAGTTCACTGAGTCAGGCCTCCATTTCTTCAATTCTGTTTGCTTATTCACTGTATTACCTATTTCTTACCTCTTAGCATTGATCACCTGGATTTGTACTCAGTGTTATTGTATAATTACTAATTTTCTATTTATGTTGTTAAATTGATCTTTTAGTATTGCCTTCAATACTTGTGTAATACATTTTTTTCACTTATTTTGCCTTTTGTAAGTACCTAAGAATCCATCTGATGAGTTCTGTTTCTGGTTCCAATACCTTATCTTCCCCCAAAAGGTCTTTTGGCTCTAAATATCTATTGTCTTGTTATGCCATTCTCTCTTCTTTGTATGGGTTATAACTGTCTGTTGTGCCTGCGACATCCAGGTTTGTTGTAATTGTTTTTAAAGATATCTTTGTATTATTAATCATGACGTTCTGGAGTGGGTGATGGTCCTTGTCTACCAGTTGAAGCTGTTAGTGGTGTGAGGGTGACTGGGTCACGTGCAAACTAGTTGTCTTCATCGAATGGAGCAACAAAAGAGTGATTTAATTTTTCTTAAAAATGGCATCACAAAAAGACCAATTTACAGCCCCAAAACCCAGCAAACATGTTAACCAGCACAGGAACTCACCATCACCACCACCACCGACAGAAACAAGAAAATGTTTTAAGAAAGAAAAAGCCCTCAAAATGCAGGATGATAATAAATAATAAGATGTCAATAAAAATTCAAAAAGAAGATTCAGGTCAAATGCTCGAACTGTTTCCTCTTTTTAGGTCACCAGCGCATGCTGTTCAGGATTCTGTTCTGTTGTGCACCATAGGAAGACATTGAGAGAAGATGTGTTCCCACCTAACTTGATGCTTTAAAAATAGTTTGTACTTAGGGCATTAGCACAGGACACCGATGAATGGGTGTGTGCTTCTGTTCTACTACTTTTTTAAAAAATTGCCCTCTGATGACAAGTTCAAGTTCAAAGCCATGGATCCCTTGAATATGTGCCCTGGCTACAGCACCATTTTCCAAAATGGCTATACACTGGCTGTTTGGGTCAAGAGCTAATAAGGCCAGAATTTGTGTGTTCTAGCTACTTTCAGAAGTGATTGCAGGCCAGTTATCTGGGCCTGGAGTCAGACAGCCCTAAAATGTGTGCACTCTGGTGCTCTGTCATTTCCAAACGTAACTCTGAGCTGGCTGTTTGGGCTCAGAGAACTAGTAACCTCCACCAATTCCACCTCTGCTGATAAATGCCTGGCAGTCACTACTAGGTTTATAAATGTGATTCCAAGACCCCTCTGCACATCAGGGGGTCATGGAGAAATGGTAATGATTCAGGCCTGTATTAAAAAAGAAACTCCCAACCTGGTGTTTATATTTTCCCTCCATTCTTGTTTTAAAATATCTTTGTTGAGGAGGGTTTGCAATGTAAGTCTGCCTAAGTTATATCTTTACTGGAAGCCCTTTAATTTTCCTGGAATTCTGTTCTTGACAATGACCCATAGGGTGTTTTTGAAGCACACAATCAAATGCCTTTGCATAGTCAATAAATACAAGTAAACATCTTTCTGGTTTTCTCTGCTTGTAGCCAAGGGTCATTTGATATCATATATCTCTCGTGCCACTTCCTCTTCTGAATCCAGCGTGAATTTCTGGCAGCTCCTTTTCTATGTACTATTGCATGATTGTTCTTGAATAATCATCAGGAAAAATTTAATTCTTTGTGATATTAATACCATTGTGTGATAATCTCCTTACTCTGTTGCATCATCTTTCTTTGAAACAGACACAATATCTCTTCCCATCAGTTAGCAAGGTAGCAGTTCCCAAATTGTTTGGCATACATGAGTGAGCACTCCCATTGTCTCATCAGCTTGTTGAAGCACTTCAATAGGTAGTCCATCAATTGCTGGAGTCGTGTTTTACAGTGATGCCTTCAGGGAACATTTTATTTCTTCCTTCAGTACCAAGGAGTTGTAATCAATTGCTACCCTTGAAATGCTTTAATGTCTATAACTTCATTTTGACACAGCGACTCTGTGTGTTTCTCCTGTCATCTTGGATGCTTCCTGTATCACTAAATATTTTGCCCATAGAATCCTTCAAGATTGCAACTGGAGGCTGTAATTTGTTTTCAGTTCTTTCACTTTGAGATTTGCTGAATGTGTTCTTCCTTTTGGCTTTCTGGCTCCAGATCTTTGCACATCTGTCCCCAAGCTATGGAGGTGTATTAAGGAAGTTCAAAGGTTATAGGTTTACCATAAGTCAGCATCAGAAAACATTAAAGACACAGTCGTTTTTCCACAGCAACACTTCTCTTCTGCAAGCCCCCAAGTCTCTCTCTAGTTCTCAGCCTCTCTGCAATGTGGTCCCGTGTTTTCTGACACAGTGGTTCAGGAAGCCAGCCTACTGTTCTACCTCACAGTCACAGTCTTGGTGAAACTCCTCTTCTCTGTCTTATGATCTCTGGACTCAGTCTTTGGTCCTGGCATGGCATGGCCTCTGTTGCCTCTGGTCTCAGCCTCCAGCACTTTAGACAGGTAGCCTCACATCCTAGGTCCTAGGTCACAAAATAATTGCTTTCATGAAGGTGTGCATACTTCATTTTAACATTTCATTTTGTCTTTTGAACTTCCCTTTGAAATGTTATGCTCAGCTCTTTTACTTAATTTTTTTTTCCATTTGTTTGAATTATTCTACATACAAGAACAAGTTTCAGATTCTCATGACAACCATGTTGACCTTTTCTTTATTTTTGGCCTTTTAATGACCTTGTCCTTTTTTCATGTCGGCCTTACTTGATGTTATTTTATAAGTCTCAAGCTCTTCCATCATTTGTGTGCAATGCATCAAATGTTTCTTGCGATGATTTCTTAAATCAGGTATGATATACTCAAGGTCATAACAAATTTCACTTCAGTTGATTCTGATTTATAGGGACCAGATAGGACAGGGTAGAACTTCTCCCATGAGTTTCTGAGGTGGTCACTCTTTAGTGACTACAAAGTCCTTTATTTCCCCTTGAAACCACTTGTGGTTTTGAACTGCTAAGCTTGGGGTTAGCAGCCCAACGTGTAACCACTGTGCTGTCAGGTCTCATGAACTTCTTTTAATTCTCTTCAGGTTTAACCTGAATGCGCTGTTGTTGTTGTTGTCTAAGGTGCCATTGAGTTGATTCCAACCCATCGCAATCTATGCAAAACAGAATGAAATACTGCACAGTCTAGTGCCATCCTTACAACTGCTCTGGTGCCTGATCTCATTGTCACAGCCACTGTGTCAATTTGTTTAATTAGGGGCCTTCTTCTTTTTTGTTGCCCCTCTGCTTTTCCAAGCTTGATGTCCTTCTCCAGGGACTGGTCTCTCCTGACAATGTCTAAAGTATGTTAGATGAAGTCTTGCCATCTTTGCCTGTAGGAAGCACTCTGGCTGTACTTCTTGCAAGACAAATCAGTTTGTATTTTTACATATGAACAACTGATGGTCTATTCGACCATTGGACCATGGCCTCTTTTGTGCTGCTGATAACTGAGCTTCTTCACTGTCTTTTCCTACATATCTAGTCAATTTAAATCTGTTGTGTTCTATTCAGTGAGGTCCATGTATACAGTAGCCATTGATGCTCTTAAAAAAAGGGTTACTTCAATGAAGAAATTGTTGGTCTTGCAATCTTCAGCTTCATTTCTAACACCAAGGCCATATTTTCCCACTTACGTTTTTTTCTTTTTGTTCCTAACTTTTTTTTTTACCTCCAGGTAAAGCACAGTATATTTTATCTACATAGGTAATTCTTTTACTAAAAAGCCTTCTTTTAACTAGTTACCAGAGCTCTATTTCCCATGATGGACAATGTCTATTCTCAGATTGGGATAAATACACACAAATTCCTAGAATAACATACATGGCTCTGTGCAAACATTCCCTATAACAGAGATCATATAAAAACTATATCTTTGTAATTCCACCTAAGAAGTTTTAAATTCTCTAATCTCAAAGGATCACACATTGACTTTTTTCCTTACACAAGAGCCTAATAATTCATACAATGATCCTGTTCATTTGAAAGTCGAGATAGCTTTCATCTACAGTCTGTTCATATTCTACACCATTTAAGAAATTGGATATCAGTTGCTGAGATAACATGGAATTTCAATGAGTTGGAATGAATTTAAAATAAATACATTTAACTTATTTTTTAATAAACCAGAAAAAGAGGGCATATAACTCCAACACACAAATGAGCAAGGTATTTAGTGCAGAAATAGTACAACAGCACAGTCAATGAATAGACTTGTTTATGTAAAGAACTGGGACATAAAACAAATGTAGATTCTTGTTCACATCAGTGACAAACCTAAATCCCAAATAGAGGAATGATAAAAAATGTAAAAGGGAAAACATAATTCTTTCATAGTGAAACAGGTTGGAGTTTCATAAACATGATCTACTTAGGAAAAGTCGTTTAGAAATGCTTGACAAAGTCAACTACATGAGGGCACTTCAAAAAGTTAATGGAAATAAGCTTTATTTCTTTATTGTATTTTATCTGTGAACTGTTTATTCAAACTTAAAACTTGCACATATGTTTACCAAAACATTACTGTAAAACATACTTTTAAATGCCATACACCTAAGAATAAATTAGCAATGTAATACATAACAAATTATAAATATCCCTATTTAAAAGAGCCCATATAAATTAAAAGAATGTAAATAGTACAATAGATA